ATTCAAGATCTGATACTACTCAAATTATATTATAAACATTGTTAAACTTAATTAAAAGTAATTTTTCGATATGATTTTTTTACCCAACACTTGGCCTATTTACTTTTAATTTTATAAGCTGTTACTTTATGAGATTTTGTATTTAAATGGAAAGCATTATTAGTTTTTTTTAGCTTCAGTTTTTTTCCCGCTAATTAGATTTATACATAGTTAAGTGAAACTCTAAGCTAAGAATTCTTTTTTATTTTATTTTTTGGGAGACATTTTGTAATATAACAAAAGTTCTTGCAGTTTGAATATTGGTATAGATTCCTAAATAATCTTAAAGGCACATGCCCTTTACATAAATACTTAGTGCTCGCTCAATGCTAATCCACAATAAAGTTAACATATTACATATACCACTTTGGTCCCTATTATAAGCAATTTGTAACTCATCCTTATATATCAAAAAAATGATAGTTAAGTCATTAAATATATCTTGAATTGATGAGCAGATTTACGATCTAATTCTCAGACTTACTTGAATCTCCACAAATACATCTGCAATTTTCCTTTTTTATCCTTTGAAAATCCTAATATTTCTTTCAGTCCATAGAGAGTAAACGACAGCAATGATACAAGCAAATAAGATTAACTTTTAAACCAACAAGAGTTGGTTTAGTTGGCAAAGAATTGGCTCATAATCCACAATGTCATGAGTTCGAATCCCGTTGTCGATATGATGGCCTTGTTGGCGGGTGACCTGTGAGTATTTCTATAAGTGTTTTTTGAGCCTGGAGGCAAGTATCGACTCTAGTGAGTTCTCAGGACCCAATTCATCTAAATATGTAAGTATTAGAAAAAAAAGAAGAAAGATTAATCTTTTGACCCTACAGAATTCAAAAACCTCATAAAGCAAAAAAAAGATTAATCTTTTGACTCTACAAAATTCGAAAACCTCATAAAGCCCATTCCTGGTCAATACTATTTCTAATCCTTAATATAAAAACTAATTATAATTAAATTTGATTTTAAATATAAGACTCAATTCACTTTATCTTTCAAATTCATAATTTTTTTTTCCAAATATCTGATTATAAAGATTCTGGTTTTCCATCAAGAGATAATTTCGATACACATGATTAAATATAGTTGTTTAGAGAAATCTCAACATATTTGTTATAATTAAGTAATTTAATTAATTTTCTTCCTAAATCAGTTATCTATAACTCTTATATTAAAGATAAGAGGTATTAATATATCCATGAAAGCCATCCTTGAAATCAAAGCGCATTTATGATGCCGTAGGTGGTGGGAGTAGTGGTGATGGGGTCAAATGGCCCAATCAGGAGGGGCAAAATGGTAAATTAAGCATGCTGATAATAAAAAGGAAAATTGAAAAACGACAACTCATGCCATGAACTTGGTTATCATTTTCAAAGAAAGAATGATTAATGTAATGATGATCTTTTTAAGTCCCCACTTAGCCTTCCCAAACGTAAAAGCTGTGGAAATTAAAGAAATATTAGTGGCTGGCCAAAAAAGGAAAAAAAGAAGAAGAAGAAAGGCACATTTATTCCCTGGATTTAGTTAGGTTCATTTTCTGGGAAAAAAAAGTTAACATTATCCATGGTCAGAAAAATATGATTATTTCTATATTTAATTTTTTTTTGAAGCCAAAAAAAGCCCCCCTTCGTAAGTTCCCTTATCCATTAGTAGCTAGGGCCTACTAACACTCTTCGTAAGTTCTTATAGAAGAGTATAGCAAAGTCTCTCTCTCTCTGTTTTTTTTTAAATTAAAATGACAGACATTAATAGTATAAAGTTAAACAAATTAAATTTGTAACCTCTCATTTAGAAGGGAGTATTTATATCATTAGGTTACAAAACTTTTGATTATGGCAAACTTTCTTTAAAAAACCACTCAACTTACACAAATTACAAAAATAGGACTTGGCCTCGTGTGACTAATCTTAATGTCTAGCAGGGGCATCCTAGGCTCCAACATCATGGCCTCTTGGTTGGCTTGTCTTGCATATGAAACTTTTTTCGGAAAAAAAGAAAAAGAAAAATTTTAATTGAATTTGGCTTCGAGACATAAAAAACATTTATAGAGAAACTTATATATTACCCAATAATAAATTTTTGACATTAGAGACATTATTCAAATCCGTTAGGATCTTGTAATCCAATTAACACTAAACATCTTTTTTAAGATTTTCATAAGCGTGAGACTGTAAATTTTCATTGGCGACCGCGTATTGCTAACTTTACTCATGATTAATTTTGGCACATTAATATTTTGGGTTTAAATTCTCAATAAAATTAAAACTGCTAAGTGACTGTCAATAATGCAAATGGTGAATCCATACCTATGGAAAATGACCCAACATTTATTATTAAAGATAAATAATTGATAGGTGTGAAGATGAAATGACATTGACGGAGCTTATAACTTGGCTAAGCTCACAACGCAAGGTCAAGAATTTGGGTGCTTTAAGAAGTGAACCAATCATCTTTATGTCTCCCATCCCCATTTATCATGTTTGTTCTTATATTGCAGCAATCCTGGCTTTCTTGCTTTCTTCCCATCAATGTTCTTTTCTTTTCTTTTCAATTTCCTCCCTCAATGATCCAAGAAGATGATAAATTTGACCATCTAATCAGAAATCTCTCTTTTCTTTTTGGTCAAAAAAGATCACCATATCTTTTCCAAATTAGCTTGACTCTACTCCCACTTGCTCAAATTCATGCTTTTAATCTTTCTTGAAGTTTCAAATTAAATCCTTTTATCACTTGTTCTTAGCCAAAAAGGATGAGAAGAAAGGCATAAATTAAATCCGTTACTGTCAATCATGCGTTTGGGAAACAAATGAAAAACAATAAAATAGAACTATGATTATAACTCACCTTTTTCTCTTTATGGACCCATCATTTTATAACTTTTTTATATGTATTTATTTTTACAAAAGCATAAAATTCAAGTATTCTAATGTCATTGGTACATAGTGTTGATAAATTCGTGCAAACAAAAGGTATGGTCAATTTTATCTTTTCTGTGAAAGAAAGGTAATGCTTTAGTCATAGAAAGTGTTCACTTTTTCTCTCAAATTTTGACTCTTCATATCCAATCTCATGACCAAGCAAGGCCTCAAGTTGAGATAAATAACATACATAGGTTAACAAATCATACATGTTTGTTTATTAAGTTTTGTGTCTGAAAAAGAAGCCATATGATTAATCAGACCAAGTTGTTTCAGATGACCAATAACTAAATTATGATGAGAAAGTTAGACAATATATCAGGGATGATTGAAAATGAGAAACCATAATAGAAAGTTTGTATGGGACAAGGATCTAAACCCCTTATCTTGCCTTTCTTTTCTTTCTTTCTCTTTCTTTCTTCCGCCCCCCTTTTTTAGCCATTGCTTGCAACCAGAAAACAAAAAACCGGATTGAATTGGCTGGTTTAACCGGTCAATGATCAGGTTTGGTTTTGATGTTAAACTGAGGGGGAGTTGAACTGGTAGTAAATTGGTCAAATTGAAGTGAATCGATAAAAACCAGTGTGAACCGATAATGAACTGGTTTGGATGATTATGTTATTATTGGTTCTATTTTTTTCTCATTCAGATTCCAATATCTTAGCTCCTATAGATTTAAATGAATTTTAATGAGGATCTTGGTATCAATTAATATTAATTTTAGTTAATAATAAACTATAAAGATCAAATTTCTCAATATTGTTATACTTTATTATTGTTACAATCAAGCTATTATTATATTTCTTTATATTTTGTTATCAACCATAATAAAAAGTTTGTATAGGACAAGGATCAAAACCCCTTATCTTGCTTTTCTTCTCTTTCTTTCTTCCACCCCCCCTCTTTTTGCCATTGCTTGCAACTACAAAACAAAAACCTGGACCAAACTGGCTGGTTCAACCGAAAAAACCAATAAACCAGCCAGTGGTCTGGTTTGATTTAGATGTTAAACTGAGAGGGAGTTGAACCGGTAGTAAACCAGTCAAACTGAAGTGAACCAGTAAAAACCAGTATGAACCGGTAATGAACCAATTTGAATGATTATGTTATTATTGGTCCTATTTTTTTTTCTCATTCAGTTCCCAATATCTCAACTCCTATAGATTTAAATGAATTTTAATGAGGATCTTGGTATCAATGATTATTAATTTTAGTTAATAATAAACCATAAAGATTAAAATTCTCAATGTTGTTATACTTTATTATTGTTACAATCAAACTATTGTTATATTTCCTTATTTTGTGATTAATGATTATTAATGTTATTATATTTTGTTATTTTTAATTAAATTATACTATTTTAATATGACTAGTTGGATTCTGAGTTGACCCGATCTGACCAATTAAACCTTTAAACCACTACCTCAACCGATTCAATGTCTAATCCGATTTTTTACTCCTTGCTTACAAATAAAGAACTCAAGAATAAGTTGTAATTATAAAACTGTAATTTATGAATACGAAGTCATCCATAAGAATAAAAACAAAGAAAAATCCTCTAAAAAAAGCTTGAAATTACTAAATTCCAAATAAGAAATTCTCACAAAAATATGTTGTTTTTTTACAAATTCAGCTATCAAAATCTATTAAAGTATTGTTGTTAAACCTGATTTGTGATTTAATAATTTTAAATTTGGAGATTCTCCCTGAAAAACAATCGCAACTAAATTGATTGAGCCAATCCCCTTTTGTAATAATCACAAATTGATAAGTGCATTTGATTTTAGCAACATCTAAAATGTTAACCACCTGAAGCCAGTATTAGTGAGACGAAAAATATGACCAAAGATTCAAGGTTATTTTTCTTTGAATTGAATAGGATTCCAAAATTAAACTATTTTCTTTTGAATCTAAATTTCAATTGACATATACAACCATCTATAGTAAAACTAGAGTTCCTTATTATTTGTGTTTGAAACTTCGATCCTCAAATATGAAATTTGGTGTGCACCAATAATTGAACTGATCACTTGCTAAAAAAAATTTAAACTTTGAGCACTTGTTATATGGTTAGCTCACCATCTATCAAAACCATAGTACAAGATTTAGCAATATTCGTCCTGATGATCAAATCTAGAACAAAAACTACCACTTTCGTTATACCAAATCATGTGCTCTGCAGAAAGCTACAAACAACTATAGTTCAGTGATTTTGAGAGACATGCTGCAGCAAGTTTGCAATTTAAGAACAGCCAGACAAAACCATGATTAAAACCCTGATCACTGAGAGATAATCGGCTTGATTGATTATGCAGTCTTTCAGTGTTTTCTTGCTTTGGATTCACTTCTGGAAAGAACTGCCCCCGAGAGCTTGTTAACCTCGTACAGCAAAACAACTGAGAACAGGAAACTGCATTTATAGACAAAACGTTAAAAGGTAATCAACTTAAGGTTTGCCATGCAATACTTGTAGCAGTTAGAACATCTTTTTAGCATCTAGATAACAATAGGAGATTCATAATTGGCCCCCATGTTGCTCTGCTCCACTTTAGTAAAAGAAATTTCTTTTGTTAAATTAATGCATTTTCATATGCATAAGATAAAAAATGCACACACACAAGGTTCTAAACTATACCAGGGTAAAGATGAACAAGCTACTCTATATGAATTCATCTTATATTCCCCAAAGCTCCTGTTTCTTTTTAATACACAATGGTTTAATTCCTCCAATGAGCACGCGGCTTTATGAAAGAAATATGAAAGCTTAGTTTCAGGCAGCTTTCATTCATGTTACCAATACCATTCACGAACCTTTAAAAACACTGCTTTTTTTGGTACCGTGAATCTACCAAGGAGACATACAATGCAATCTACGAGCTTATATTATTGAGCTCTTGTTTTTTAAAACTATTTTGTAAAATAATTTTGAAACAACGTTTATTAAAACAAGTTCTTAAAAAAAAAAAAATCTGTTTGACAATATTAATTCGGAATCGGAACAGTTTTAAAGGTGAGGAAAAAAAAAACCAACTTGGTAAAATTTGTTTTGAGAATGTATTTTGCAAAAAAAAAAAAAAGAAGAAAGAAATCATTTGATTGTATTCTAATTTCACCTTTTTAGTGACTAATTTAATCAAAAGGACATAAAGACAACCATATGTATTGCAAGGTTATTGTGATAACTTGTTTGAATATAAACACAAAAAAAGAGAGGGAGTATACTTACAACTTAGTTAAGATCTATTACCATAACAAGACAAATTGGTTCAACTAGTTGTTACATCATGCCCACATCCAATTTTCAATACAATCTCTTTACATTACCATTTCCACTGCATCTTCATTGGGCAGCCTCGATAAGTAGTCATTACTAGAGCTTGCTCCCTTAACCTCAATGTTAGGACATTTGTTCATGGCATCAATTTCTACAGGATCTATTTCTTCCCATATCACAAATAATTCATCACACAAATTCCACTTCCTCACATAATTATAAGTAGCACAACATGCTGTCCCTAGAAAGTTTATAATGAGGCAACAACTTAAGAAATTTGTTTTTCAAGACTCCAAGCAATGCTCAATTATCTTTTCTAGAGCTGAGTGCCTATAGTTAAGTAACTCTTCATAACCCCCACATCATCTGCTATGGTCTTCTATATTATTATACATGATACGTTTCACCCTCATAAGAGGGAAGAAACCCTCCCGTGCATGGATAGCTGGAATCAATTAGATAGAACATAGTATGTAAATCAAACATTTACGATATACTTAAATCCATGTTTTATTTGCCTTTTGATCTAGTTTTAATGTCATTTGTTTAAGTCTGAATTTTGTTATAGAATTGTTTGGATGCAATTGATAGTGCATGTATAAAATGCAAGAGTTCCTGCTGAGAAACAAACTTCATGCAAAGGTAGTATGATTTTAATATGACGTTTAAATGTACATGAATTCAAAGTGGGAAGACGGCACACGGAATACATGTTGCTTTTTTAATACACTTGCTAATACTGTGGATTTTCCATTTAAAGGTGAATATTAATATGATAATAATGAGTTTTGTGTTAATAAAATAAACATTCAAAGTCGACATATAGTCTACAGATATAGGTTTTTTTTGTCTGGTCGATTTTGACTATCCACACATTGGAGGTTTTCTTTCCCCATACATGGGATGAAAACTATTGAAGAGTGTTATGCACAAGAATATAGAGACCAAAGTAAACAACTTAGGAGTTGTAAAGAGTTACTTCATTGTAGACACTCATCTTTAAGAATGACATGCCTTCATATAAACCTTTTAGATAGCAACTCATAGTATCAGCATATTATACAGTATACACAAGTAGAATTTGCACGACGAATTATTTAGAATATGGGGAAAAATGGATCATCAATAAATTAATGGTATGAATCAAGATCCTGACCTATAGGGAACAAACTCCAATAGTGACAGCTTATCAAGCTTATTCAGTGCAACGGAAATGACAATGTATAGAACAGACTTCACAGTTCTTTTTGTTTTCTTCCTCTACAATCGAGGGTTGAACAAGTATGTCATGGGCCATGGAAAATAAATTTATGCGGGTAATCAAATCCCAGAAACTACTTCCGAAGATGTCAAATATATAGACGATGCAGTTAATACTTCTCACAACAGTAATCATTTCTCTATGTTTTGTTTATCCTGTGTTTAGTTAGGGTGTTTTTGGAGAGAAAGGTAGAGGACGGGAGTTGCTCTCAGAACCCTACAACTTCCTTTACTCTCCCTCCTACATCATGTCATTTATTGTTAAAATTTGGTTGAAATGAATTCCTATTGGTCATTCGTCAAAAGAATACATAACGTACCATGTTGTGATGCAAACTCGGTGGACAGTGCTTGCAGCAATTAGAGCCACTGCTTCCGCTATTATGACTGCAGAAGAATAATGGCCTTGCGTTAGTTTGTTGTAAGCGAAACAATAGGCACCACAAGCCGACGCCACCATCAATTATACTCAACAGCACTAGAAAGAGCCATAAAATTGAATGCCCCATCCTCAAACTTTACTAGTCTACATACATGAACCTAAATAATAAGTTGTCTATTTGATGTTATTGGATCATTATTGCCGAAGGTGATGTGAACAGCAAGAGAGGATTTGAAAATAAACAACACACAAATGGAAAAAAAGCAGGAAATTAAGGACTCACATGTACAAACACACACAAAGAGCATGTCAATAGAAACAATTACAAAATTAATCGGAAAATCATCAATATTTTAGCCTCTATTGGAAAAAAAATATATATATATATATATTCAGTGAGCTAACCTTGTCAGCTGTTTATTTTCCATAGAACGAGTAGACAGGTCATATGAAAATTGATGTTACAATATTAGTGGTAATTCATGTTGATTTAGCATCTATTCCCTCTGTATCTTTGAGAAGCCTAGGAGAAAGTAAAGCAGCAGTTTTACAATATTAGATTGCTCCTTGATATTATGTAACTTGATGCATAGTCTTCAATGTTATTATGGAATTCATTTGATCTGGATTTTTGATAAGTCTGAACTATAGAGAATGGAAAGAAGAAAAAAAATTGGGAATGAAGGGTTGCACTTAGACGAAATCTGTTTATCCTCTCACTTCGTTTGTTCTCCACAGTAAAACTGAAAGACTGAACAGGTCATATAAAATGAGCTTTTCTGGCATTTGAAATACTTTTCTAATGTTATTTCAAATTTCATTCCATCTGGATCTACAAGATGTCTAGACTCTAGAGCAAGGAATGCAGACATTTTAAGATATAGTATTGCAGATTGATGAACCATGGTTTTTCTTTGTACTCACTCTCTTCTTTTAGAACTAAATTAAACATCCAGTTTTATGCGCCTGTCAAAATCAACATGAAGATATAGAAATAGTCAACATGCCCCTGACAATCTTTTGTATCGAATAAACATTTAATAAAGTTAAAAGAAATGAACCATGCCATAGGGCTATACTCCACAGGAATAAGGTTGGATTCTGCTGCAGCGGAGCAAACATGAGGACAGAAGTCGAATACAGGAACACAAACCCATTTACAACATGACCGATGGTCCATTGAACGTGAGTCTTTTAGAAGTCATAACATGTGCAAACTTATGAGTTTTATGATATATCTGACACATAAGTAAGACCATTAAATTAAATCCATAAAATCTTCATTTTAACATACACAGTGTGAACAGCTTTTCTTGATAACCACTCACCTATATTTAATATCCACATCTAATGAGTGATCACAAGAAATATACAGTTAAAGCTAGGTATCAACATTCATAATAAGCATGCACTCACCAGCACCCCACCCGGTTCTCGCACCAACTGTTTCCTGAAAATTTCCAATGAACTGCAGGTACAGAGAAGTCAAGAAAATATAGTTCCATTATAGTTGCGTAGGATAAAAAATGTATGCAGCAGAACATTAATAAAAAAATAAAATAGAAAACAGCCCAAATCAATGGAATTAATCATTTTTATTTATCTTGTGAACATAGGTTACTATAGTCCGCCTGGAAAACAAAATAATATTGAGGGAGAGTGAGCATACGAGTGAAAACTTAATCCTAGAGGTGCCAATTATGCAGTATATTAGACACGTTTCCACATGCATTATACAAATCTAAAGTGAGCCACATTCTTCGTGTCTTATGAATAGTCTGGCCTATTATAGATTTTGCATTTTATCTATGACCAATGATAAAGGACTTCAGACTTCTTTCTAAATCCTTTCAAAATATTTGGCAAAAAAGTAAACACTATTCATAGCATAATCTATTGCCAAGGTAAGATGCAAACAAGTCTGTCACTCTGAGTTCCAAAGAATAACCTTGCAAGAAAGACAAAGACAACATATATGCAATTAAATCAAGACACTCATTCAAGCAGAGCTGTAAATGAAAAGAAATAAGGGTTAATATTTCCCACTTTCTCTGATGTAAGCATGAATAACTTTTCCCTTCTAAAATTAACAAGTTTCAGATCCTCAGTTAAAAAAACAAAAAAAGTGTTCGGAACAAAAAGTTATCATCATTCTATCCCCAAAAAAAAAAAAAAGGTTATCATTCAACAACAACTGTAACAAAGCCTCATCCCATGGGTTAGGGTTGGCTACACGGATCAAGTGCTAAAAAGGATACGAGAATGAAGGATCAGGTATCCGCTTGATACCACAGTAAAAGAAACAAGAAAAAAGACACATTTTTTTTGGGGGGGGGGGATGGCTCAGAAGAACCGCCCAATCCCTGTGCATTTTGAATCAAGAAATCTCTTAAAAAAACATGAGCAGAAACCTTAAATAAGTTTCACTGATGGTGACCAACGGCAACAAATTCTGAAGTTTCCCACTAACCAATGTGCCACGTGCTAGAATCGTCAGAAACAGTTTTTCATTTCACTTCTTTGAAACAATAACAGTTTTCTTGCTTTCTTAAGGGTTCCAATTCGTGGTCTATGAGGCGTACCCTATAACTGCTATGCAGGGGGACTAGAGAGCTATCTCTATCGAACTAATTTCTTTTCCGCCTTTTTTTTCCCTTTGTTATTCTTTTACTGTTTCATTAATTTTATAAGCAATATTTATCAACATATCAAAAGAAAAATCAGAAGGAATTGCAAGTGCTGAGGGAAAAAGTCAAGGTAATTTTAGAACTCACAGTTAGAAGCACAAGAAATAGGAGAGAGCTAATGAACCCTCCAACTATAGTAAATAATTCTGTTGATGCTAATTTCCCCCTATAAACTTCTTGAAGTGAGAGAATGACAGTGAATAGAAGAAAGGAATATAGCATCGAACTCCCTGGCCCTGCCATGGACTTAACAGGCAAACAAACAGAAAATAGTGAATTTTCAACAATAAAAATACAATAATTGTGAGCTGCAGCACAAGATGCCATCAAAAAGAAAGATATATATATGGAATAAAAAAAATGAAATATTCGTAATTTCATAGAAATTACTATAAAACAAATATTATAGGTGAATTAAAATGAAGTTATTAGAGGAGAGGGGCGGGGAAAACAGGTGTCTATGTCCCTAGAATTTTCATCGTTGATAGCACAAAAAGCAGTTTAACTCTGAGTCAGATTGATAAAGAGGAAGTTCGTAACCAAGATTTAGAACTTGTTTAAGGCTAAAATTACACCAAGGTAACATGATAACCATTTCTGAAAGCAATAAAAGCCTCTGCACGTCCAAACAACTTAAACTAGCTTCGATTACTCTACAGTTAGATTCATGACTCTAGGCATGTTTGAAAGAGAGCCATCAAGCCATTCGATCAGACATAGAGATAGAAAATATGCCGCATTTCATTGGAAAATCTAAAAGCACTTAAATTCCTGAGTTAAGTGAATACGAAAACAATGCTGAACATATTAAAAAAGGAAACATAGGAGTACAAGTCATAACAAGCAAAAACTTAACAGAACCCTGATTTGATGATAAATCAGACACATTTTAGTCCGCCGAACAACAAGTCCGCCGAACAACAATTGTTGGTTGATTAAGAAAAACAAGTATCTTAAAATGTAAGATGCAATATCGGAGTGTCTTTTTCCCCTGCATTTTCTCAGGAAACAAACAGAGCATGAGGTGCAGTAAGAATTGGAAAAAAAGAACAAGCATACCTCAGAAATCAGAGGAAACTGATGTCGAGTTAGTGCTTTACGGCAAAAACTCTCGTCGGCTTTTGCAACCTCGAGCCCAGAATGGCGCTGCAAGCTTTGTGAGCGTTCCGTGGCTGACTCGATGTTAGATCTGGTCGACGGTCATCAAAAGGTAATTTCGATATTATACGGAATTTCAAGGACAAAGATGTCCAAGCAAATAGTTAGGAAACTACGTCGTTTGGGTACAAGTATGATGAGATTTGGGTTTCGGCCCATAGAGCAGCCCACGGAGCCCACTTCAACTGCGAGACTTAAAAAAAATGATCAAGCAGATATGCCAATATATATATATATATATATATATATATATATATATTTATATAATGTAACTACTAAAAGGATTTTATTGGGCAGAAACTTACCGATTTGATGTATTTTTATTTTGTTCTCTATTTTATAAACTATTTTTATTTTTTAATCATATTATAGAAAGAGAAAATGACCAAAATATGACTGTTGAATTTGAAATGATAAAATGGGCATACAAATATATGAAATGACTAAATGGGTATGAGATATCAATCTGAATTTTGACAATTTGATAGAAAGACTAAAGTGCCCCTGAACCTCTCTAAAGACATGAACATGTGGTAACTCTCAATACGAAAGTTGTAATTCAAATTACAAATATTATCATTATCATTACCAAGATAGTGAAATTGGCTCCAAATACATGTTACTTGGGTTTGAAAGAAACGAGTTGTAAATGACAATAGCGAAATGGTAACTCTCATTACGAAAGTTGTAATTCACATTGCAAATGTTGTTATTATTATTATCGGTGTAGTGAAATTGCTTCCAAATATATGTTACTTGAATTTGAAATAAATGAGTTGCAAATGGCAATAGCGAGATGGTAACTCTCATTAAAAAAGTTGTAATTCACATTATAAATGTTGTCATTATCATTACCAGGGTAATGAAATTGGTTCCAAATATATGTTATTTGGGTTTGAAAGAAATGAGTTGCAAATGGTAATAGCAAGATAATAACTCTCATTACGAAAATTATAATTTACATTACAAATGTCATTATCATTACCGAAATAGTAAAATTGGCTCCAAATACGTGTCAGGGGCATTTTAGTCTTTTTATCGAATTGTCAAAATTCCAGATTGATACCTCATGCCTATTTAGTCATTTCATATATTTGCATGCCCATTTTGTAATTTCAAATTTCAACGGTCCTTTTTTTGGTTATTTTCCCTATTAGAAAAGGCTAATTCTAAATTTAAAAACAAATTAAAAGTTCAATTACCAAACTTAATTTATATACACACACACATACCTATCAAAAGGTTTTGAATCATTAACCAAATCGTACCAGAGTTAGTTATGTTATAAATAATGTGCGAAAAAATATTGTTCATTTTGATTTGATTAGATAGAAGGATCAATTATCAATATACTCTAAAAGTGTGAGTGGGTGCACGAGTGAAGAATATGGCTTCTTTTTTTTAAATTCTTAAGCATATAAGCTTTTATATATATATATATATAAATTTTTTAAAATAAAATTGATGGGCAACCAACTTTCCATTTAGAAATATAATAAAACGAAGGGGGAAAAAAACTAAAGTGAGCTGTGTTTCAAAGCATTGGTGGACCAATCCAAACAAATGCCTTTACTCAATGTAAGAAGTAAGTAGTAGTATTATAATTTTGGGAAAATAACATTAAGGTCCCACAGAACCAAATATATAGCAAAAAAATTCCTTGAAATCTCATAATTTTTTTGAAGTCCCAAAGGGACTTAGACACAATTTTCAGAATCCTCAAATGGCTCTCTTGCCCCTAAAGTAAAATATGTTGGAGCCCTTCCTTACGAGATCAAACACGGCTGGCTGTCTTGGAGAAGTTAGAAAACGCAGTGTTGAAGGGAGAAAAGTTATGGAGACCTAAGTGTTGTGAATGCCGAGTTGTGAACGACGGAGGGAGAGGAGGTGAGTTTTGAAGGACGGAGGCAGAGAAGTCAAGTTCTGGGAACAGAGGTCGCTGAATGACGAAGGCAGAGATGGTGATTTCTGAGAACAGAGGTAGCTGAACGACAGAGGCAGAGATGCTGATTTTTGAGAATGGAAAGTCACTGAATGAAGGAGGCAGAGACGCTGATTTCTGGGAATAGCAAGTCACTGAACGACAGAGGCAGAGATGCTGATTTCTGGGAACAAAAAGTGACTGAACGATGGAGGCAGAGACGCTGATTTCTTGGAATGGAAAGTCATTGAACGACGGAGGCAGAGATTATGAATGATGGTTTGTTTTTCCATCCTTTTTCCCTTTCATTCTTTGCTGCCAGTTTGTTGTTTAAAGCATAATACAATTGGTCATATCAGATATTGAAAAAGTTTTAAGGTTCATGAGGGGAATGAGTAGTGCGTTTACCTTCTGCATAGTCTAAAAGCTTAATTTCTTTGTATTTTTCTCCCAGATTGCGTTGTTTCCCATTACTGAAAACTAATAATCAGAATTCCCTTTTTTAGAAATTACTAAGTACATTGAGCTTGATGTAGTAAGGAAACCAACTTATGATTGCAATATGAAAAATCGAAGAAGGCATACGGTTTGTAATTTTACTGTAGTGTGGCTTTAGTTTATAATTTTGTTGTGCACAAGGCACATAAACAATACGCTTTGTACCGAAATCTGTCTTAGTTTATTATTTTATTAGTTATTTATCTGTATCTCTGCTCTCTATTTTACTATCTGAATGCGCATTTTGAATTTTCAAAACCTAAAATTTTGTTCAAATTAAAATATCTCCTAGTAAAAAATTTCTATTAGGTTATTATTTATGTTGTGCATTGCATTGCACAAGGGGAAAGAAATTAATTTTGGTCCTAAACCATAGATAATAATCAAGACAGAGTTGAGAGCTGCTATATTGGGCAAGTTATCTGATGCTATTGTCTTTTTCCCTCTTCTTTAAATCTTGGTGTGCCATGTACCAAATATATGTATTTATTAAATTCTTCCATTTTTTGACTTGCCTTCTATATCATGCAGAATTAGTCATAGTTTGCCTTTTTTTTGGCAGGTTAAGAAAATGGGGAAGGATGGAAGCAATGCAAGTGGACAAAGGAGCTCTAATTTTTCTAGTTATGCCTTGTTCACAGAGGAATTCTATAAGAAAACCTTGAGAAAGTATAAATCCCTTGAATCAGGGAATCCACATGTGAGGAAGGCCTAGGATAAATTATCTAAAAAGAAAAGGGAGGAATATTGTCAAAGGGCTCGGGAACAAAGAGCTCCTACAAAGTCCAAGAAGTATATAGTTCCTTTCTACACAAGATGTGCACCTAAACAATTTGTACAAGTTTGCAAGCATGTCAAAGAAAGGAAGGACCTGATGGATAGGCTAAAAAAGATAGGTTTTGACAAGTTGGTTGAATTATGTTGCCACACAATTCAAAGAGAATTGTGTGGAGAGTTTATGTGTGTATTCGACCTTCCAACAAAAAGTATTTCCATAAGAGGGAAGAGAAGGAAAATGAGGGAAAATGATGTGCATGACTTTATAGGGCTCCATTTGAGGGGGGAAGAGATTAAAGTAGCTGTGAGTAGTGAAGATGAAGTGTTCAAGCAATGGAGGATTGTGTATGGCAATATTCCATACAAGAAGATAGCGTCATTGTTGACCGAGGAGAAACAAGATGAAAATTTTGAGATGCTGTTTGTCATGTATGCATTGGGAACATTGTTGTGTCCTAATGCAAGTATTTGTGTCACTGATTATTTGTTGAAGGTAATAGATTGGGTAAGTTTGATTGATCATCTTATGTGTTGAATGAACTATACAAGGGTATTGGAGTGTACAAGAAACAATTGGAAAAAGGCAAGTTGACTGAAAAGAAGAAGAATGTTCTAGGTTGTCTGTACTTCCTACAAGTAAGTGCTATTATAATTTGTATATTTTTTTGTCATTTTATGGTCTGAATGTCGTCAATTGCTGCTGTTAACTTATCATTCATGTCACATGAAGATATATTGTCTACAAAAGTTTCCACTAGGGGAAACAAAAGCTTCACATGTTAAGCATGCTCTTGCATTTTGGGATGAAAAGAAAGTGCAGGAAAGAGTTAACATGGAGAAGGAGAGTGATCGAGGATTATTACATCCGGCTAGTCAAGCCACCAATTTTGATCTAGAAAATTTAACTCACTTGGTAGGTGGACTTGGAGGCTTAATGGACAATTTTTTTTTTTGCTGTTGCTTACAGATTGAAGTTCTGAATTTTATTTGTATAGGAGATCAAGAAAACATATGCTCAATTAGTGTCAATGCTGGGAGAGGAAATGATGTCCCTTCAGTTAAGACTAACGAAGGATAGTGACAATGTAAGTGAAAAGGAGAAAGATGAGGAGGAAGAATCTGAGTCAGAAGAGGAAAAAGTTGTCAAAGGAAGTGAATCAGAGGAAGAGGAAATTGAAGAAGATGGAACTGAATTGGAAGATGATAGAAATCAAGAAGAAGAACAAGAAACTCAATCAGAAAAGGAGATGGGTGGAGAAGAAAATAAAAGAGAAGAAGAGGATGAGGAGGATAAAGAGCAAGAAGAGGACAAAGAAGATGAAGAAAATAAAAGAGAAGAGGATGAAGAGGACAAAGAGCAGGAAGAGGACAAAGAAGATGAAGAATAAAAGAGAAGAAGAGGATGAAGAGGACAACCAAGGGGAAGGGAAAAAATATGTGAGGAAATCAACAAGGGTGATAAGTAAGGGTAAGACTCTTAGGTGTCCATTTCTGGATATCAAAAGGAAGCCTGGGAACAAGAGAACAATTGATGATAGGCAAGCTTTATTTGATATGTGTACAGCAAGGTGTGATGAAGAGGAGAAAAAGCAGTAAATATTATGTTTTGGTGACCAAATTTATATTATGTTACAGAATTTACTGAGTTCATAATTGTTTTATTTGCATTAGATACTTTGTATCAATGTATTGATACTTCCTAGCCCGTGGTGAGCTGCAATGTCTCCAACGTAAAAAATGGATAAACGACAGGGTGAGTCACATGTATATAGTTAACATTAGAATGAGTTATTTGATGGTAGAGTTGTAATTTCTTTGTAT